TCATTGTATTCTAACAGAAGGAAGACTTTCGCAATGTCAGAATTCACTGATCAGCGCTGCAGACTATTGCCTGCGGTGCTGATCAAACCGAAAAATACTGACAGGGTGTTTCAACAGATGTTGATTAGTAGATCGAAATTCAGCTGGTCCCTGTTGAACCGGCAAATTTCCACCCTCATACGGCCAGCTCACTCTCTACAGCTCTGAAGGACACATTTCCATGCAGTTCCCGGGGATAACGAGAGTCCAGCATGATCACCCCTAGGGAGACAGTCGGTGACTCCTCTGAGCACACACTCAATCGTGTTCTCCTGTGTGTACCCTGGCCAGTACACTGCTACTCATAGCACATTTGTTGGAGAACACACACCTGCTACAGTAGTCTGAAACACTGAACAATACTGCTGAACTTGTCTAGGACACTGACCCTTCTAGCACAGTGCATGGGGGCACCGACACTGATACCAACACTCAAAGCACAGCAGTTTGGGGAGACAGAAACCCTGACCTGAGGCAGCATGTTCAAACACTGACACTCTTTGTACAGCATTTGGGACAATGACACCACTAGCGCAGCAGTTTAGGACATTACCCCTCCTGGTAAAGCAGTTCAGAACACTGACACTCCTAGGAAATCAGTTTGGTATTTTATACACTGACACTCCTAGCAGACCAGTATGGTATTTTATACACTGACACTCCTACTAGACCAGTGTGAGACACTGACACTACTAGCAGATGAGACAGACACTGACACTCATAGTTCATCAGTTTGGAGACTGACACTTCTAGCACAGCCATTTGGGACACTACATACTTTTAGCACATCAGTTTGGACACTGACATTCCTAGTAGATCAGTGTGGGACACTGACACTACTAGCAGATGAGTTTGGGACACTGACACTTTAAGCATACCAGTTTGGGACACTGGTGCTCCTAGCAGATGTGATTAGGACACTGACACTACTAGCAGACCAGTGTAGGGCACTGACACTCCATTTAGACACGGACACTTCTAGTATTTCACTTTGGGACACTGATGCTCCATTTAGACAACGACACTCAGTTTGGACACTGACAGATCCCCTACATCAGTGTGGGACACTGACACTCCTAGTAGATCCCCTAGATCAGTGTGGGACACTGACACTCCTAGTAGATCCCCTAGATCAGTGTGGGACACTGACACTCCCAGTAGATCCCCTAGATCAGCGTGGGACACTGACACTCAAAGTAGATCCCCTAGATCAGCGTGGGACACTGACACTCCCAGTAGATCACCTAGATCAGTGTGGGACACTGACACTACTAGTAGATCCCCTAGATCAGTGTGGGGCACTGACACCCCCAGTAGATCATCTAGATCAGTGTGGGACACTGGCACTCCCAGTAGATCACTATGGGACACTGACACTCCTAGTAGATCCCCTATATCAGTGTGGGACACTGGCACTCCTAGTAGATCCCCTAGATCAGTGTGGGACACTGGCACTCCTAGTAGATCCCCTAGATCAGTGTGGGACACTGGCACTCCTAGTAGATCCCCTAGATCAGTGTGGGACACTGGCACTCCTAGTAGATCCCCTAGATCAGTGTGGGACACTGGCACTCCTAGTAGATCCCTTAGATCAGTGTGGGACACTGGCACTCCTAGTAGATACCCTAGATCAGTGTGGGACACTGGCACTCCTAGTAGATCCCCTAGATCAGTGTGGGACACTGGCACTCCTAGTAGATACCCTAGATCAGTGTGGGACACTGGCACTCCTAGTAGATCCCCTAGATCAGTGTGGGACACTGGCACTCCTAGTAGATACCCTAGATCAGTGTGGGACACTGGCACTCCTAGTAGATACCCTAGATCAGTGTGGGACACTGGCACTCCTAGTAGATACCCTAGATCAGTGTGGGACACTGGCACTCCTAGTAGATCCCCTAGATCAGTGTGGGACACTGGCACTCCTAGTAGATCCCCTAGATCAGTGTGGGACACTGGCACTCCTAGTAGATCCCCTAGATCAGTGTGGGACACTGGCACTCCCAGTAGATCACCTAGATCAGTGTGGGACACTGACACTACTAGTAGATCCCCTAGATCAGTGTGGGACACTGACACTCCCAGTAGATCCCCTAGATCAGTGTGGGACACTGACACTCCCAGTAGATCCCCTAGATCAGTGTGGGACACTGACACTCACTATGGGACACTGACACTCCTAGTAGATCCCCTAGATCAGTGTGGGACACTGGCACTCCTAGTAGATCCCCTAGTTCAGTGTGGGACACTGGCACTCCTAGTAGATCCCCTAGTTCAGTGTGGGGGACACTGGCACTCCCAGTAGATCCCCTAGATCAGTGTGGGACACTGACACTCCTAGTAGATCCCCTAGATCAGTGTGGGACACTGGCACTCCTAGTAGATCCCCTAGATCAGTGTGGGACACTGGCACTCCTAGTAGATCCCCTAGTTCAGTGTGGGGCACTGACACTCCCAGTAGATCACCTAGTTCAGTGCGGAGCACTGACACTCCCAGTAGATCACCTAGATCAGTGTGGGACACTGACACTCCCAGTAGATCACTATGGGACACTGACACTCCCAGTAGATCCCCTAGATCAGTGTGGGACACTGACACTCACTATGGTACACTGACACTCCTAGTAGATCCCCTAGTTCAGTGTGGGGCACTGACACTCCCAGTAGATCACCTAGATCACTACAGGACACTGACACTCCTAGTAGATCCCCTAGATCACTGTGGGACACTGACACTCCTAGTAGATCCCCTAGATCACTGTGGGACACTGACACTCCTAGTAGATCCCCTACATCAGTGTGGGACACTGACACTCCTAGTAGATCCCCTACATCAGTGTGGGACACTGACACTCCTAGTAGATCACCTAGATCACTGTGGGACACTGACACTCCTAGTAGATCCCCTAGATCAGTGTGGGACACTGACACTCCTAGTAGATCCCCTAGATCAGTGTGGGACACTGACACTCCTAGTAGATCACCTAGATCACTGTGGGACACTGACACTCCTAGTAGATCCCCTAGATCAGTGTGGGACACTGACACTCCTAGTAGATCCCCTAGATCAGTGTGGGACACTGACACTCCTAGTAGATCCCCTAGATCAGTGTGGGACACTGACACTCCTAGTAGATACCCTACATCAGTGTGGGACACTGACACTCCTAGTAGATCCCCTACATCAGTGTGGGACACTGGCACTCCTAGTAGATCCCCTACATCAGTGTGGGACACTGACACTCCTAGTAGATCCCCTACATCAGTGTGGGACACTGACACTGCACACTTTCCCGCACACTTCTATGGGACAGTCAGCGTAGAGTGTCAGCTCTGCGGCGCAGACAGTTGCCATGGTGCCGGCGGCTCCCTCACCTGTCCGTCTCCCGGCGCCCCTGTGTTCTCCGGGGTCCTCTCCCTGTACAGAGCCCAGAGCCCCACGTTGGGCAGGAAGAGCAGGGCGGCCAGCCCCAGCCCCAACGCCTGCAGCAGCCGCTTCTCCTTCCGCCGCATGGGAAGCCCAGCACCGCCTGCCTCCCCTCTTCACCGACACACAGCACTAACAGCCCGGGGGACCGAGCCAGCCATCCACCGAGCGAACCGCCGGGAGAGGAGGCGGGCACACCAGGCGCGCTCCCGCTAACTTCCAGCGCGTCACCGCTATACTCTCGGCTTCACTGACATGTCCGGGCGGTAGTGCGCGTGTCCGCCAGAGGGCGCTGACGGGGAGTCCCAAACTGAGCTGATCCCAAGCTATGGCTGCCCTGATGTGGAACTACAAGTCCCAGCAAGGACACAGGGATACAAGCCACACACAGCTATTATATCTGTTACATTTACCAATCCTTCCGTCTCATCTTTCAGGATTTGATCGTTTAAATGAATGGAACCCATAGAGCAGGCTCCTGCGTCTGGAAATGTTGTTTGCCTGGCTGTCATGCTGATCCTTTGGCTTCAGTAGTTTAACCAATTGCCCGCCAGATAATTTACCTCCCTTCCTGACCAGGCCATTTTTTGCGTTACGCCACTGTGTTATTTTAACCGACAATTGCGCGGTCATGCAACTCTGAACTCAAATGGAATTTATGTCCTTTTCTTTCCCACAAATTGAGCTTTCTTTCAGTGGTATTTGATCGCCTTTTTGCGCTGTAAACAAAAAAAAGACCAACAATTTATAAAAAAATGTTTTTTTTTACTTTTTGCTATCAAACATCCAGTATAAATATGTAAAAAAAATCAAATTTCGTCATAAATTTAGGCCAAAATGTATTCTGCTACATGTCTTTACTAAAAAAAATCCCAGTGTAAATTAATTGGTTTACGTGAAAGTTATAGCGTTTACCTATGGCGGTGTATACACTGGGATTGTTTTTGTTTTGTTTTGGTGCAGCTCTTAGCCCGGGTTCACATATATATGCGGTGCGGCATATCGCATGTGATTCGCACAGGAATCGCACCACATTCCTATGCATATCCCATGTGATTTTTACGCGATGCGATTGGAGCCATACATTTGTTATGGCTCTATTTGCACCTCACCAAAAAGGTGCAGGACCCTTTTTTGGGTCTGCAGTAGAATAGAATCGCATGGGTATTCTCACCTATGCGATCTGATTCTGCACATCACACCGCGTTTTGCGGACCGCTTTTGGGGTGTTGTTAACTCAACATACACAGCTGCAGAGGATCGCATGAACGGTGTGCGATTGTGATGTGGTATGGAATTCACACAGAAAACGCTTCAAATTCTGCACCGCATCAGTGTGAACCCGGGCTTAATAAAAACCAATCAGCTTCCAGGTTGTATTGCCAAAGCCTAACCCCCCGGTTCACATCTATGCGGCCGTGCGGGCTGCATTTTGCATGGGCACGAGAGCCCATTCATTTGAATGTCCCTGCACTTCTTCCGAAAACACAGCCCGCATGGGAACCTCGGTTCCCAGTACAGTTGCGTTTTTCAGTGCGGGCATGCGTGTCCGCATTTCTTTGTGCGGGTGGTGCGGCTGCATGGATTTTCATGCAGATCCACAGTGGCAGCACCCGCACAGATGTGAACCTAGGGTAATTGAAGAAGCTGAAGTTAGAAGCTGATTGGCTACCATGCACAGCTGCACCAGATTCCGAGTGCTCCAGTTTTAGTAAATCTCACCCCCTTGTCATGATGCTTTGCATCACGGTGCGGCTATTTTAATGCTACATGTCACCTTTTATAGGCGGCACCGCCTGTCAAAATCTCCCATGTCAGTGAATCAGGCCATTCCACAACTGCCAGCCAAATGTTTAGTTTGTATTCATAGATCGCTTTTCAGGGAGGTGGTAAACACTAAAGCAGGCCATAGACGGGTTGAAAATCGTCCATTTAAAAAAAAAGCAAATCGGTCGTTTGATCGGCCAACGTTACCATCAACGGTAAGAAAATTGGACGATTTTCCTCCGTCTATGGTTGGCATTTAACCCCATAATTACTTCTGTCCCTTGCAGAGACGGGAGCACACAGGGGAGCAATACATACGAAGAATAAGAAGAAGAAAAGAAGAAAAAGAATAAGAATTCCAGTCTGCTGTTATATTTTATATGAAAAAGTATAGCGGTTGCAACAAATGTATCTATTTGTATCCATTTCGGATACAGATGTTTTTATTTGGATACAAATGGATACATTGTTGCAATCACAAGACTTTTTCATATAAAATATAACAGCAGACTGGACTTCTTATTCTTCTTCTTCTTCTTCTTCTTCTTCTTTTTCTTCTTCTTTTTCTGCTTCTGCTTCTTCTTCTTTTTCTTCTTCTGCTTCTTCTGCTTCTTCTTCTTTTTCTTCTTCTTTTTTTCTTCTTCTTCTTTTTCTTCTTCTGTTTTTCTTCTGCTTCTTCTTCTTGCAGGTCACGGCTCATTTTTTATCGGTAAAATGATCGTCCGATTTGCCCATCACTGCCGAGAAAATCGTTCGATCTTCAAAATTGGCCACAAATTTTCCAACATGCCCGATAAAAAAAATGTGCAAAAACTCCAAAAAATGGCCGACCAATTAACCCACTAACGGTGCGAAAATCGGCCAATTTTTTTCAGCCGAAAAATCGGCCGATTTCGGACCCGTCTATGACCGGCATTAGGAGCCTAAAAAAATGGTGGACTTTTCCATGTATCCATGGTGTGCTGGTGACATATACATCCTTGTACACTGATCAAGGGTTAATCAACCAGCCATTGCTGCGGCACCCCCGTACCCCAAGAAGGAGAGCCAGGCTTTATACAGGAAGGAGAGCAGTGGGAGTATATCTGATGGGGGGGGTCACTTGGCTTCCTAGTCCTCATATCCATTCTCTGGGCATGGAGTATAAATTTGATTCCTGATTAGGATTCCTCTCATTCCCCAAGGACCAGGCCTCGTCCCTGCATGATTTCCACAGCTCTGGTTTTTGGCATTGTGCTCCCAGTATTTTCAGATGTGTCATACTAAGTCACTATGCCTGTATTTCTATGTAATAGTTCCAGCATTTCCACATGAACATGGCATAGTACTACTGCATGGTATATACAGTATGCGGGACATCACTCTGCTTCATTCTTCATTGTATATTAGCTATAGTGTGCCTGTTCATTGAATGGTGCCAATGGGACACAGTGGAAACCCTCCCCAGCTTCTGTATGCTGCCTGTATCTATTCTCTCTCTGTATACAGCAGAACATCTCCATATGCTTTGTGTAAGGGCTTGTTCACACCATGATGCAGAGATGTCAGTTTTTCTACATGCATCCTGCAAGGCACAACAAAATCAATTGTTCTCTAAGTGCCCTGTTCACACCACAACACTGGTATCATATGTAGATTTTTACTGCACAGAAATCTGTAATGTATGAAACGTGCATGTAAACTGATGTCTCTGCATGTGAAATCTGCACATCAGTTCCCATCAGTTTTTCCTGCACGTATGGTGTGAATGAGGCCTAAATCTCAGTATTAGTTCTTATCCTGTATGTATGCCAACTGCACAGTACCACTTCTCTTGTCCTGTATGCCGGGTGTAAATCTCAGTATCTGTTCTTATTCAGTATGTATGGACTCTGCACAGTACCACTTCTCTTGTCCTGTATATTGGGTGTATTTCTCATTATCTGTTCATATTCTGTATATATGGACTCTGCACAGTACCACTTCTCTTGTCCTGTATGTGTAATTCTCATTATCTGTTCTTATTCTGTATGTTTTGGACTCTGCATAGTCCCACTTCTCTTGTCCTGTATGCCGGGTGTAAATCTCAGTATCTGTCCTGATTCTGTATGTATGGCAACCCCACAGTACCACTTCTCTATTTTTGATTTCTGGGTGGAATTCTCATTATCTCTTCTTATCCTGTATTTTTGGACTCTGCACGTACCACTTCTCTTGTCCTGTATGCCGGGTGTAAATCTCAGTATCTGTTCTTATTCTCTATGTATGGACTCTGCACAGTACCACTTCTCTTGTCCTGTAGATTGGGTGTAATTCTAATTATCTGTTCTTATTCTGTATGTATGGACTCTGCACAGTACCACTTCTCTTGTTTTGATTTATGGGTGGAATTCTCATTATCTGTTCTTATTCTGTATGTTTGGACTCTGCACAGTACCACTTCTCTTGTCCTGTATGTCGGGTGTAATTCTCATTATCTGTCCTTATTCTGTATGTTTGGACTCTGCACAGTACCAAATCTCTTGTCCTGTATGTCGGGTGTAATTCTCATTATCTGTTCTTATTCTGCATGTTTGGACTCTGCACAGTACCACTTCTCTTGTCCTGTATGTCGGGTGTAATTCTCATTATCTGTTCTTATTCTGTATGTTTGGACTCTGGACAGTACCACTTCTATTGTCCTGTATATTGGGTGTAATTCTCATTATCTGTTCTTATTCTGTATATATGGACTCCGCACAGTACCACTTCTCTTGTTCTGTATGTTGGGTGGAATTCTCATTATCTGTCCTTATTCTGTATGTTTGGACTCTGCACAGTACCACTTCTCTTGTCCTGTATGCTGGGTGGATTTCTCAATATCTATTCTAAAGCTGGCCATACACATATAGATATTCGTTGGAGAATTTTCATTTCACGAATATTCCTTTGATTTTCTAATCGTTAGTGGGGTCAGATCGATCTTCGTTTTCAACAACAGAGACTGGAAAATTCGAAGGGGCAGGAAGTAAAACTTTTCTCAATCAAACGAATTTTCAACCAGTGTATGCATGGTTATCATTCAGAAATTGCATTCATTTTAAAATCGAATGTTAAAAGCGGAAAACAATTTTCAAACAACATTTGTTCATTCATCAAATGTGCAAAGAATGTTCGTACGACTTTTCTGTGTATGGCCAGCTTTATTCTGTATGTTTGGACTCTGCACAGTACCACTTCTCTTGTTTTGTTTTCTGGGTGGAATTCTCCGTATCTGTTCTTATGGGTGCTGTATGGTAGCACTTACTTTATTCTGTATGATGGGTATAATTCTCAGTATCTTTTCTTATTCTGTATATACAGACACTGCACAGTAGCACTTCTTGTTTTGTATACTGGGCATAATACTCTTTATCTGTACTTTATCTGTATATACAGGTACTGCACCGTATGATGCCGATTGTAATTTCCAGTATTTATTCTTATCCTGTATGTACAAATACTGCAGAGTAGCACTTCTCCTGCTATACAGTATATGTGTAGCACTACCCCCTTAGGAGTCGCTAATAGATTTGGGTCCCCTATAGTCCTGCAGAGCCAGGCATCACACATCTTCACACAGGCTTACATCCAGGGTCAGAAATCAATCCTGAGCTTTGGTTTTGTTGTCTTATTTAGGGAATTTGAACTGGGATAGGGTTAGGGGGTGTACGAGATGATGGGCATATTTCTCATTATTTGTCCCTATTCTGTATGTACAGACACCGAATAGTATCACTTCTCTTGTCCTGTATGCTGGATATATTTCTAAGTATCTCCCCTTAGTCTGTATGTACAGACACCGAACAGTATCACTTCTCTTGTCCTGTATGCTGGATATATTTCTAAGTATCTCCCCTTATTCTGTATGTACACACACCGAACAGTACCACTTCTCTTGTCCTGTATGCTGGATATATTTCTAAGTATCTCCCCTTATTCTGTATGTACAGACACAGAACAGTAACTCTTCTCTTGTCCTGTATGATGGGTATATTTCTCAGTATCTGCCCTTATTCTGTATGTACAGACACCGAACAGTAACACTTCTCTTGTCCTGTATGATGGATATATTTCTCAGTATCTGCCCTTATTCTGTATGTACAGACGAGCAGTACCACTTCTCTTGTCCTGTATGCTGGATATATTTCTAAGTATATCCCCTTATTCTGTATGTACACACACAGAACAGTAACACTTCTCATGTCCTGTATGTTGGGTATATTTTTCAGTATCTGCCCTTATTCTGTATGTACAGACACAGAACAGTAACTCTTCTCTTGTCCGGTATGATGGGTATATTTCTCAGTATCTGTCCTTATTCTGCATGTACAGACACCGAGCAGTACCACTTCTCTTGTCCTGTATGATGGGTATATATTTCTCAGTATCTGCCCTTATTCTGTATGTACCAGGGGCAGACTGACAACTCATGGACCCCCCGGGCAACAGAGGATCATGGGGCCCCTGTTTCCTTGCCCAAACTCAAAAAAGCCTATGAAAAAGGTACCAGGGGCATCTCATGGGGCCCCCTACTGACCCCGGGCCCTCGGGCAGTGCCCGAGTTTCCAAATGGTCAGTCCGCCCCTGGTATGTACAGACAATGAACAGTACCACTTCTCTTGTCCTGTATGCTGGGCATATTTCTCAGTATCTGTCCTCATTCTGTATGTACAGACACCGAACACTACCACTTCTCTTGTCCTGTATGCTGGATATATTTCTCAGTACCTGTCCTTATTCTGTATGTACAGACACCGAACAGTACCACTTCTCTTGTCCTGTATGATGGGTATATTTCTCAGTATCTGTCCTTATTCTGCATGTACAGACACCGAACAGTACCACTTCTGTTGTCCTGTATGTTGAGTATTTTTCTAAGTATCTCCCCTTATTCTGTATGTACACACACAGAACAGTACCACTTCTCTTGTCCT